TTGGTAAGCTGAGGGGGGGTCATGTGATTTTTAAATGGTGCTTCCCAAATCCCACCAGCCCCCCCTCCCTCATAAAAAATGAACGGTCCCTAATTCAACATTAACATGAAAATTAGGCTCCATTACCAGCCGCTGTGCGGGAAAGGAGCCCGCACTCCTCACCCTACGTAGACCGGCAAATCAAGGCTTCATGGAAATATGCAGCCGTGAAATAATTCCATGCACCTGTGTTATAATATTTTAACGTTCTGATTTCTCCGGAATTCTGAATTAAGAATTATTACAATTAATGGCATATTCCTGTAAACAGAATAGGCAGTTTTTCTCTTGCTACAGTTTTTTACCCAAATGTTGCAGTTGTTTCTGTTTTATTAGTATTGTATTCTTGTGGTAAATAAATGGTTGGTTTGTTGTTATTTCGTGTTTTACCGTTACGTGACACTCGTTTTGTAGCATACAAACATTTCGTTTTTCTGTGCCGTACAATTAATGGTTTTCAGGGAAACGGAGCTTACAGAAAAGCTTAATTTTTTGTTACATCTTTCCAACTTGCGTTACGCTTTCTTTCGAGAAAACTCGGTCTACTCAACCCACGTAAGCGGGGAGCTAGGGGAATAATCCCAAATTCGCGTTTATTTCCGGACAGAAAGCATGTCAGCCACACCAGGTTTCCAGTCTTTTGTTAGTTTTTCTCGTGTGACCTTTTTTTACTCTCCAGGTAATGACACCAACTGAGTTCGCAGAATTCCTCCTACTTCTTGGTAAAAACCTTTGCTTCTGTATGATTGGTGTTGGCATTACGATACATGACGGGGCCACAGCTGCCCTCTCTTCTCGAGGGAGGAGTTGTGGACTCTGGTTATGTGGTTGCTGATGCGAGTGTCGTAAAAACAAAATCAGAAGTAAAATCAATTTAAGGAGGAATACCAAAACAAGAGGAATACCAAAGTTACCTTAATTTCTTTTTATTTCATTGTGCCGTACAATCTGGAGTTTCTGTTTTCTTTTATTAGAGAGGTTAAGCATGACGTTAACGGCAGACGGCAAACGGCAAAGATAACTTCTCATTTTGAGTTCTTTTCTTCTAATCCGTAAATAAAGCACACAAAAATGGAATAACGTCTCCTACTATTCATTGCAAATACAAATAATTTCACTCTTCTGTACACACTGCTGAAGAGAGACGGCAAAAGTTTCATTTTTGCCGTTTGCCGTTTGCCGTAAACGTCATGCTTAACCTCTATTAAAAAATTCAGCAAACGGTGCGCAACATACTCATGTTTTCTATCACGAAAAGGTAGGTAGGTCCTTTTCCAAAAGTGGAAAATAGGGAAAAATGAACAAACGTAGATCTTTTCCCCAAGTATCAGTTATTTTTGTCCATGTTACTGATGAATTTGAGATAATATTCTACGGTCTACAGACAGGTAGACAGGAGAGGACTCCAACAACGACTGAAGCATTTCAACTTGAGGTCTTGTATAGCTACACGCTATAAATCTCTGGACCTGGTTGTTGATAATTACATTGAATTCAGTTCTATAAATTATAAATAAATATTTCTCTCAATTCGTTAAACTAAAACTTTGTGACGAAACGTGGGTTGACGACAAAAATACAACCTGAGTTAACAATTGATGATTTGATATCGGATTAGCGTAAATCGGCATCTAGTCAATCATCCCAGGTTATTTTGTTCACCGGAATGCAGAACATTTTTTTTTCTGTTGAGTTGAGGCATTCTCTTAGTGTGCACGAGAAACGGGGTGATACAGAGGCCGTGACACTCGTTCACATCTTCGTATATAATCTTCACTTGGATACTGGCGTAGCAATTCCGTTTCTCTCTGCGAGTCAGTGTTCACTAGCTCCTGTAAATGGCACAGTAATCTGGGTGAGACAAGCCATATTGTCAACTGCTTCTACTCTTGTACACGTTTCTATTCATGTATAACCACGCATCCAATCTTCATAACTTGACTAAGGGCTCTGCTTCCTTCTTTCTTCTACGCAGATAACGACGAAAAATTGAGTGATCAAACAACTATGCCAATTGCGGGAAGTGCTAAACCTTGGAGTTAAGTTTTGATCAGGAAGCCCTTATAACTTCTGGTGATGGATTCTTTGTCTTTCCTTGCATGTTGCTGCACTGTAGCTTTCACTTCATAGTAACTATAGCAATTGAGATTTTCTGCTTCTTCCTTTTAAGACTTTCCTGAGTGTGCAGGTACAAGACCATTTAACTGCGTCGCGTGACCACTGTCTGCCAGCCATTCCTAAAACAAAAGTCAGATGGTAACTGAGAATTGTTTTAATATACTNTAAACCTTGGAGTTAAGTTTTGATCAGGAAGCCCTTATAACTTCTGGTGATGGATTCTTTATCTTTCTTTGCATGTTGCTGCACTGTATCTTTCACTTCATAGTGACTATAGCAATTGAGATTTTCTACTTCTTCCTTTTAAGACTTTCCTGAGTGTGCAGGTACAAGACCATTCAACTGCGTCGCGTGACCACTGTCTGCCAGCCATTCCTAAAACAAAAGTCAGATGGTAACTGATAATTGTTATAATATAATACCAACTGAGAAGTTACACGTTTTTGACCGGTAGGTGAGGTCTGAGATCCTCAAAATTTAAAGAGTGGGGCTGAAATTTTAACTCATAACTGAGAAATCGCCGAAAATTTCACAGAAAATTCAGCACCCCCATCCAGACCCTTCCAAAAATATAATTTATCATCAACTCAAAATGAGTTACACAAGTGCATGTAATATTTCAAACTGGACACCACTGAATTGCATTGGCTTATACAGAGAAACCAGTTCGTCAACGGTTTGTGCAAATGGTAAGCAAAATGCCCGGTGGTAAGTTCCGTTCGGATTGGCCATTTACTCGACAACCCCGGCCCCAGTTTTCCGAGAGAGCCTGCTATGAGTTTTAACTGATAATTCCAAGATGGCGGTCAAGAATTGCAAATGGTAAGCTCATTTTCCACTCAGATACAGTAAACACCCGCATATAAGAACACACAATTTCAGAGGTCAGACTGATTGTGTTCTTATTTATNGTGATGGATTCTTTATCTTTCTTTGCATGTTGCTGCACTGTATCTTTCACTTCATAGTGACTATAGCAATTGAGATTTTCTGCTTCTTCCTTTTAAGACTTTCCTGAGTGTGCAGGTACAAGACCATTCAACTGCGTCGCGTGACCACTGTCTGCCAGCCATTCCTAAAACAAAAGTCAGATGGTAACTGAGAATTGTTTTAATATACTACCAACTGAGAAGTTACACGCTTTTGACCGGTAGGTGAGGTCTGAGATCCTCAAAATTTAAAGAGTGGGGCTGAAATTTTCACTCATAGCTGAGAAATTGCCGAAAATTTCACAGAAAATTCAGCACCCCCATCCAGAACCTTCCAAAAATATAACTTATCACCAACTCAAAATGAATTACACAAGTGCATGTAATATTTCAAACTGGACACCACTGAATTACATTGGTTGTTTATCACTTACACAGAGAAGCCAGTTTGTTAACGGTTTGTGCAAATGGTAAGCAAAAATGCCTGGTGGTAAGTTCCGTTCGGATTGGCCATTTACTCAACAATCCCGGCTCCAGTTTACCGAGAGAGCCTGCCATGAGTTCTAACTGATAATTCCAAGATGGCGGTCAAGAATTGCAAATGATAAGCACATTTTCCACTCGGATATTTCGGTTTATTTCGAAAATTTTCCGGTCGGTCGAGCTGAAATTGTCTCGCCGCTTACATTCTGCCCGAAATTTTCGGAATTTGTGGGTAAACGGCAAACAACCTTTGTTTCCTAACCTGAAATCTATCTTGTACATCTTTCTGGAGCTGTCTTCTTTGCTGCTTCGACAGCGACGATGTTTTCACCACTTGGTACCAGTTGTTGATAGCTCTGCAAAGAAAATAAGAACCAGTAAAATCACAAAGACAATCACCATGACCGCGACAGCAACAACCAAGCAAAAAGAACAAAACAATGGGTGGTGAACAGCCCTTCAAAAATCTTGGCTCTCGCAAAATTTTCGTCGAATTTCACGTGTTTTTTAAACACTTGCATTGAAGTCTTTAGCATTCACCACTCCTATCACTTGAACTGGCTTTCAATATTTAGCACGCAAAATAATGGATTATCAAATGTTAAATTTTCAATATTTGGCAAGCCAAATCTTGAATTCTCAATATTTGGCAAACCAAGTCTTGAATTTTCAAATCTTGAATTTTAAATATTTGGCAAACCATATCTTGAATATCTAATTGCCAATCTAGAATTGCCAACTCTTAAATTGCGTAATCTTGAATTATCAAATCTTTAAGTGCCAAATCTTGAATTGCCAGATCTTGAATCGCCAAATCTTGAATTGTCGGCAGGACAAAGGTAAAATAGAATTTTAAGATTGTAAGGCGAATTAGCTACTAAAATACTTACTTTTCTCTTTCTTTCAACGCCTTTTCATACTTTTTTGGGAGTGGAATGGGTGGTCCCTGATCGATGAAATAGAAGCACACAGTTAGAAGTTGAATACACGGAAATCAATTCTAACGTTTCAATATGTTAGTCAAGCAACGGCCGTGGGTATAAACGTTTTCCAGTAACTGTCATAAATAAGGTAATCCCCTTAATATTAAACAACAGTGCTGTAAAACCAGATCTATTCGAAGAGGCTGTCATCTGTAGTGGGTCATGATATTCTAAAACCATGGAAACCACTGGAAATCCTATTGGCTATCGAGCAATGCTTACATCTGTTGATCCTCTCATGGAGAATGGAATCGTAAATGTGAAGAAGTCTTGAGGTGGTAGTTCACGATAAACAGTTGACGGGCCTTCAGCTCGGTCTGGCGCTAAGGAAAGGAAGGGAAAAAAAAACACTTAGACGAAGCTAACTATGACCANTGAGAAATCCAAGAGCATCAAGAGCTTCAACAGTAAGGCAGGCTTCACTACCACTGCCGCTTGCACTGGATTCTAGAAACAAATGAGATGAGCAAAACAACAACAAAATAAATAACCTTTTTTTACCTTCAGCAGTGGTTCTAGCACAAAAGCTAGTGAGGCCAAGCAAACAACTAAAACAAATAATTAAATTGAACATAACAGAATCCCAGCAGGCCAGAGGCAAACCAGTCAGCTATCCACAAGCCTGGACAACGATTTGAACTTGGTGCTACCATGACACAAATCCAGGTAGTGGTCAGAGCAGAACTCAAACCCAGGACCACTGGATTACGAGTCCAATGCACTGACCACTCAGCCATGCAGCCTCCCTACAAATAATTTGATTAATAAAAATTTTCATTCTTTCAATAACATTGTGGAAGTCAGAGGTATATGTTATAAATTCCTTTTTGAACAGGACATATTTTATTTCACCTGGTTCCATTAAGAGTTCTAAAATGTCATTTAAATGGTGCAGCACAAACATCATGTGATCATGCTCATCAAGACTCTGCAAAGAGAAAAAGAAAAAAAGAAAACCAAATATATACGTAGAAATTGAAAATTGTGGACCATTACGACAGCTTTGTATTTGCTAAAAAAAAAAATTTTTCTTGAACTGTTAGCTTTTTGTTGACTATCAACGGAGTGTTGTTACATGACTTTGTACATATCTATACAATGTACCTTCACTGCAACAGAGCCCTTGTTCTCTAGGTCAGGAGAACGTGAACGTGTTGGCCATCTATTTATAAGTTAAGTATAGACATTGACATTAACATATACACCGTATTCTTATTAGCTAATGAGAATGACTTGTTCGTGTTTTACCTGGCTTGTAGGCATAATCACACAATTACTACTTTTACAACATGGTCATTGCTGCCCTGTGCATGGTTGAATTACATGTACCTAAGAGAACACTTTTATATCTGTTTAAAAAGCTCTTCTCAGATTGGTCAGTACATATTATGTAGCTATATAGTAGATTGAAGTGTTTGCTAAAGAAAAGTATTCTAATACTGCAGGGAAGGTGAAGCTCAATAATTATTGCTGTAAATGGAGAGCTGATCGAGACAACAAGGATACTCCTCTCCTCCTGATACCAGTGACGCTTTAAATGAGATCTTATGGATTTGTTGAATGTAAAGAAATAAAATGAACTGCAATGTTCTCACTGAGCCTTGAGATCTGAGATGATCTGTAAAGAGAGGTGTTAGATGAAGAACAACAAATTCAAATAAAACTACCCTGAGATGAAATCAGTATTTGAGTATGCAGTTNTTTTCATTTTACTCTCCACCCTTGAATGGCTGAGAAAAACACTGGCTTGCCTTATACTACAAGAACAAAAATTGCATGTTGTGCACTAAATCCAGAGTACAAAAATATACAATTTTGTGAGGACATCTGTTAGAAACAAAATTCACATAGAGTGAAGCAGTTAAGCTGAGAGGGCAATCTCAGATTTATGTTGTGAATAAAACTTAGAAAGACGTCTCTGAAGAACTTTGAGTTTAAATATTTGACGGTGATCGCTCGAGTGATTTTGATGGTTACATCGTGTACAAAAGTGTAACTGTACGCGTTACGATCGACTGTACAAAAAGTACGAACAAAACCGAAATTTTAGAGAGACGGAAGAGAAAAATACGTTTGAGACATGAAAATAATAAAACAGAGATATGCAATAAAACTAGTTTAAAACGAATGTAATATTATTTCAAAGAAATAAACTTAAATGTCTTTGCAAGCCACACTCACATGCAACGTCAGTTTTGGAGGCAAAGGTGCATGGATTGCTCCGAAATCGAACGCATCAGGCTTCACCCAGAGGGCCACGGAAGACATGCTGCACACAGGAATCAAACCCAAACAGGAAATGGTGTTAAATGCAGACCGCAAGAGAGTCTGAAGGAACTTCCTCTACGGCATCTTCCATCATAACATTGCATTTCTGCCGCCATTTTCATTCCACGAACGCTCAGATTTCTGGGACAGTACGAGTTGTTACCCATGATTCCACGCGCTGATGAAGTATTTCCATGGCAACGCAGCTCCGCCATCTTGGGGTGAAGAAATCCAGACAGAAATAAACCGAATTTGCTGGCCATAAAAAACGTTCCAAAATGACTGTCAACTTGGAAGAATATTTTAGAACTACCTTTGAGGATAAGATCCTCGTGTAAGTACCGAAATAAATCCAACGCAGGTTGAAAGTCATGAGATTTAGGGCTGTATTCAAGGATGCAATTTTGTACATAGACTAACACTGGGCAGCTTTCATATAGTGTTTTTTTTTACTGAGTAAGTTTATTTGTTGTCCTTTCTTTTTAGAAAAATGCCTGAGCGCGAGGATGATCATCTCACTCCTGCTACACGGCTCCTGGAAAAGAGGAGAGAAATGTCGGAGGTGGAACAAGCACTGGCAGCTCAAAAAGAGGTTTGTAATTAAGCTTATTATTGTCAAATTAATTAAGCTTAATTTAAGTATGTAAAAGTGTTTTTAGATAGAGTTAAAGCAGATCGTGAATGAATTAAGATTTTAATTGATTTATTTGCAGTAAACGGAAAAAAAAAATTTTAATGGGGGCAAACTTTGTTTTGAATTTATTGTACAGTCTGTAAGCAGAGTCCCCTTACACTGTACATGGTAGAATTGGAAAGACTTCTGTAAAATTTTAATTATGGAGGTAATTTCTTTCATGTAATCCTTCACACACAGACAACAGCCATAGTGCTACAGTCTGGGTGATTTTAAAACCACGCAGTCAGTATTGACTCAAAAGCTGTAAACTTAAATCACTGACCTCCTTTTGTGGTCAGTGGAAGAACTTACCAGCAAGATGACAGATACTGAGAGTGCATAGGTTACAATACACAAACTACCTTACCATACACAAGCTTTTTCAAATTACAAGAGCANCAGATATCTTTCTGAAATTAAGAAAAACACTTTTGTCAATTTGACCTGAGTAATACTAATTGAAAATAAATATTGGAAATGGAAATAAATATTTTGTTTTTCATCTTTATTCAGGACCTTTTAGAAAGAGAAACTAAAAACCAAGAAAAATATGAGAAGGAAAAAGGAAGATTGGTGAAATTTACAGAGGTTTGTCTCATGTCTGTTCAGTTTAGTAGAAAGTCCTGCTTTGTCTTCTTCACTGTTTACAGAGTGTAAAAATTGTTTCTTCATAATAACTGAGAGCCATTGCTTTATAGGAAAAGAACAATGAGATCTTAAACTACAATAATCAGGTAATTTAGTTTGTAACTTACAATACATATGCAGGTTTTGTAATGTACATAGCTGTATGCCTAAGATTCAATGTAACCATACACTGACTTGGGAAAGTGATAACAACGTTTATGACCTTGAGTACAGGGCAGGCCTCTTGTTGGTGTGAAAATATTGCACTTCATGCAATGCATGCAGTCACTATTAATATTGTCTATATTAAGTATGTCCATTTACCAGACATTTAAGTTCAGTTTGGTTAAGGTAGGTTAAGGATGAACAGTGGCCAACGCGTCAGCTGACAGTCCGCTGATAGTTGGCTAACTGTCAGTCAACTGTCCGCGGCTTGTCAGCCGACTTTCGACCGACCCATCGGTGTGATTGGATTCTTTACATTTACCCATAGTTGTTCCAACATGGTGGGCAGTTTAAGAAAATTTATGCTGCAAAATCTGACCTTTATTGTCACTTTTGATCGGTTTTGCAGCATACATTTTCTCATACTAGTAAAAGTTGTCCTTTAATTATAATTTTCCCTTTACAAAAGCCTTTAATTGTGGCTATTCCTCTATAAAGGATTGATTTTATAAGCCTTGTAGAATTAAGAGATCGAATGGTCAGTTGCTTTAATTAAAGCATTTAACAAGAAATATAAGGAGTAACGTAATTCGACGTCACGCACAGGAATGCCACCTAATGATATTCATAACTTAACTCTTTTAACAACTTTGGCATTCAACGATTTTTATTCTTGATAATAATCTTATTTTTGCCTTCTCTATTAAATTGAATAGCTTGCACATTTACAGACACAGCTGGAGAAGGCTCAGAGCGTGGCCGTCAAATGGTAAACTTTATCTTTCATTCAGCACTGATGAAAAAATGCGTCATTCATCAAATACATCAACGTTACAATTCAGACACTTTGCTGTTTCCAGGGAATCACAGTGGACTCACATACAGAACACAGCGGCCAAGAAAACTCTCCTTTTAGGAAGAATAAAAATGTAAGTAAAAATGTCAACATTTTAAGGATTATTTTTGAATGTTACTTCAGTCAGACTCTACTCATTCATG